GTCAAATGACCACCATATCTCTGCACCCAGCACCCAAGTTCTTCTTTGAAAATTCGTGTCCTACTGCTCACACACCTGGGTGTGTTCAACTGTGGTATGTGTGTGTGGTGTGTGGCACAGAAAAAACATGGTGCACACAGATGTGAGCATGTGTGTCTGCTCTGACTGCTGGACCAAGGACTAGGGATCCCTCCTGTGTGTCAACTCCAGCCTCAGCTAAGCCACACAGCAGCCCTCAGCAGAGTCTTGTGGACGGGACTGCGCGGTCCCCAGGAGCAATGACTCTGGGATTCTATGCACTGCACTGAAGAGCCGCCCCACTAGTCTGCGACCTCCCACACCACCCATAGCTGCCTGCTGCCCTCCTGGGGGTGGGAGCTCCGCCCTCCGTTGCTGAGCTCTGTGTCCCCTGTTCAACCCTTGCTGGATCTGGCAAAGCTCCCTGTAGGCGGCTCCTGCCGCTGCTTGGCATCTCTGCATTAAACTTCCCGCCCCTGTACAGGACATGGGGTGCCCCTTCCGGCAGTGCCTGGCCACATCACTTGCCTTTGCAACAGGTTGTCATGGGATGCAGGTGAGCTCGGGCTGGACGGGAGGGGGAGGGGGAGTCATCAGCTCAGAGCACCCCTTCTCCACCCCAGGCAACGCCACAGGGGGCGGCGGGCACGTGCAGATGTGCAGAGAAGCACCTGCAAGGACCGACCTACACTTCCTTGTGCTTCCCCGAGGCCATCAAGGCCCGGGCATGGACAGCAAAGAGGACATCCACTACTACTTCTACCGCGACAGACGGCTCACTGGTGTGGAGCATCAAGACGTGAGCGCAGCGGCCGGGCTCCCCCGAAGGCGCGATGGGGGAAGGGAGGCGCGGGGTAGGGGAGAGTCCTGAGCCAGACACCTAGGAGTAAGTGCAGGTCGGCCAAATGGCCAGCGTCGCACACCATGGCTGCGTCCACCACTGCCGCCGCCCCACCCCGAGCCAGGATTTCACAGGCCGAGGTGGGCATCATACACGCAGAGTGACCAGGTTGGTTGCAGGAGGACCAGGAGCTGCAGATTCGTGAAGGACGATTACAGGTACAGGCATCGGCAGGAAGGCCTCAGGTAGGCCGCGGCCTCCCGCCCCATCTCCCGCCCCTCTCCGGGCCCGGTCCGGCTGCCCACCGCCGTCCTCGGAGACGAGGGCTGCCCAGAGCTAGCGGCACCGCGCGACCGCCCGCCCACGAGCTGCCGCCCCCGGCGGTCCTCCCTGGCGGCCCGGAGCCCGGACGGGGCGGGTCAGGTGGCCGGCGGGCCCTCAGCGCTGCGTGCTCGCCCTAAGGTTCACCCAAGATCTCTCAAGACCGGTTAAAGCCTGTCGGAGCTACCTACCGTGTGATCTTCACGGCCTCGCCAGCACGCCGCGTGAAACTCGGCAGGGGGGCCGGGGCCCTCGCGCGGAGGACCTCGTACCGGGCCTCCCGCCCTCCGCCGCCGTCTTTGCTCCTGCAGGATCCAGCATGCCGGGGTGGGCCGGGATCTCGGGCGGCTGGATCGGGTTCCTCGGGCTCGCCCAGGGCGCCGGCTGCTGGCAGGAGATGGGGCGAGGCCCACCGCGGTGGCGGGAGATCCGGTGGCTGGGGCGCCACGCAAGCAGGACCCTACCGGCGGGCCAGGCTGGTGGGGCGTGGTGGCCGCAAGGGGGGCGGTACTGGGCTTCGGGGCGCCACGTCTTGTTGGTGTGCCGTCCTGCAGTTAACGACTGTGCTCCTGGATCCCCAAACGCCCCCCAAACCATGCGACCCCGCCCACGGCAAGGCGTCGTGTGACCATCGAGCAGATCGTGGACACGCTTGCCCGACCGTGGCCGCTCTGCTGGACCTGGTGTTGCAGTGTGGGCGCTGAGCCAATTCAGGAAAAAGAGGTGAGGCTCCCGAGCAGTGTGGGGGCAATCCCAGGTCACCAATTTAACCATTTCCCACCTTAGGGTTTTTTTGACTCAGGTCAGCGCTGGACCACACGGGCCAGGAATCCTGAAATTCCAAGGGCCTGGGAGCCAACCTGGGTTCGCATGTGCACCAGGTCCTCGGGCCTGAGCCTGGGACACGCTCAGGGTGGCAGTGACAGAAGATATAACAGGCTCTAGCTCCGCCATTGTCACCGGGAGGTGGTGTGTGCCTCCCCTTCCCCAGCTATTAACTAAGCGTCGTCCATTGGTTTCTCCCTAGACCCAGAGGGAACGACTAGAGTTAATGACTCATATACCAAGTAGGGTTATTCCAGATATTTCAGTATGAAGAGAACTACCAGCCACCAGACCAATAAGAATAAAAGTTATGATTATATCAACTAACACTAAAAGGGAATTTAATATTTAGTAGCCACAATTAATAAAAGTTAAAATAGCAATAGAAGAAACCTATTTACATAAAGACAGTAAACATCATTCAAAAAAGGAAACTTAAGACCATTTCCATTAAAATCATAAATAAGCATGCTGATATCACTATTGTTAGTTAACATTGTTTTAGGGGGTCCTACCACATGTGATAAAACAGGAAAATAAAACAATCAATAAACATACTGTAAAAGAACTGGGAATTATTATCATTTCTGGTAATCATATGATGGTGGACTTAGAAAACACAAGAGATTTGAATTTTTTAAAAAGCTACTATAATTAATAAGTTCATTTAGCAAAGCGATTAGGTAAATATACCCCTCAAAAAACCAATAGCCTTTCTCCATGCTAACAATAAAATATAATGCCCATATAAAGAAAAACTATAAAATCATTTTAAAGAATATACAATGAAATCTTAACAATGATTTGATACTGAATAAGAAAACTTTATGTAATAAAAAGTCAGTTCTACCAAATTTTATTATACAAACTTAGTGCACTTCCAATTAAAATTTCAATCAGCATTTTTTCTCCTTTTTTGGGGGGGTGTGAGGAGGAAACTAAAAAATGTGAGAAAACTGAATAAAAGAATTTAAAGATTCATGTGGAAAAAGAAATCTTCAAGGACAGTCAAACATTTTTTTGAAAAAAAAATGCAGAGGGAAAACTTTCCTTGCTGGGTATTATGGGATTCTGTAAGGTCAATCAAAGCAGATGTTCGCATGAGAAGAAACAGGCCAGGGCGAGAGTATAAAGTAGACATCTAGAAACAGAACCCCTACACAGGAAGCTAATGCATGACAATGGGGATTTTTTAACAATGAAAGTGGGGTGGTGTATCAATGGTGCTATCACACTGTCTTTGCATGACAAAAAAATTAAATTGAACCCGTCACAATGTTTATAAAAATAAATTTCAGATGAAGTGAAGATTAGAATGGAAAGAGTAAAAGAATTTAGGAGGACAATTGATAATATGCAGACTTTTAAAAGTAAAAACAGGAAACCAAGAAATTATAAGGGAAAAGACAGGCATACTTGATCACATAATGTTTTTAAAATTGAAAGGTAAAATACGCCATAAACAAAGCCAAAAGGCAAAAATAGATTGGAGGAAATAACTGCATCATAGGTGACAACTATAGGATGTATATCTGTGATATGCAAATAGCTCCTTCAGATTGATAAGGAAAAGACAAAAAGTCCGGTAGAAAAATGGGCTGAGAATATGATAGGCAAGTCACAGATTAGGAAATGTAAATGAACAATTATTGTATGGAAAGATTCTCAACTTCACCATAGTTAAGGGAATGCAAATTAAAGTTAATGAGATATGTGACCCATTGTGTTAGCCAAAAAATAACAATAGTAACAGCCAACCGCTGCCCCCTGCACTGCTTAGGAGTTGTGATAGCCCAGTAGTGTTCATAGGGTCAGAACTGAGCGGGCCTGGGCAGCCCGAGGTCAGGGCCTGGGCCGGCACCTGTGTGCCAGGTGCGCCTCTTGAGGTTCTGGATTTCGGAGTGGGCAGGTCAGAGGACGCTGGGGTCAGGGCTGGCATGGCCAGGGCAACTGGAGGGGCACTGGGCGGGGGACTGCGGGCCCAGACTGCTTACCAGCTAAGTGTTCTGACAACCGGTACGGCTGACCAGGTGTGCACGGGCAAAACGAACCTTTCTGGAGCAATGGTGAGGGCACTGTCATGCCCAGGCCCGGCGGCTCAGCAGTGTCTTCCGCGGCCGGCCGGGGCGGCAGAAACAAACGCACTGAGGTGTGGGAGCGCGGCGGCGGAGGACGATCAGCCCCGCATTGCTAGTGGGGAAACAGAACGATCTGACGGCAGGAGAGGGTTGGTTGAAACCTTCCACGTAAAGACCATGAAATTGTTAAATCGAATGCGCTCGAGCCATCCTAGCCGTCCTGGAAGGGCGTCCACGGTGAGTTAAAGCAGAAAAGCAAGACAGACACAGGAGACAGCATGACTTCACTTACGTAGAATGAAGGGGCGCGGCACCGGTGCAGCCAGCCCCAGTGCAAGCCAGCAGGCAGGGGGGCGAGCCGGCCACGCTGCAGCGCCCCGCCTGCCGCGCTCTGGGCTCTGGAGACTGCGCTCCTCCCGGCCAAGACCCGCCGCGGTGCAGGTGCACAGTACGCCCCTGACTTCCGGGACTCAGAATGGGGGGGGGGGATGCAAAGCATCTCTCAATAGTGTTAGACTGGTTTCATGTGAAGTGATAATATTTTGAATACATTGGATAAAATAAAATTCTATGGTAATCTAAATTTCACCTGTTTCCTTTTCGCTTTATTAATGTAGCTTCCTAAAAATGTAAAATTCCCTGTGTGGCTGGCATTATGTTTCTAGGGGACAGCGCTGTTTTCCAGGCAGAGGAGGATGTCACCTTCCCCAGCACTTACCCAACACTACAAGCGACTCAGCCCGGACCCCGCGTCCTCGCCCTCGCGCTCCTCTGGCGCACGCTTGCTGTCGGCCCGCGCCCGGGCCCCACGTCCCCGCGCGACGCACGGCGCGCGCCTGGCTGCGGGCGCGCAGGAGGGCGCGGGCCGGGCTGGGTGCGCGCGAGGCGGGAACGTGGCGCTGCGTCTGCAGGGCCGTCGACAGCCAGAGCCCCACGGAGTTTGGGGGCTTTATTTTCTGGCATTAAGAGGTGACTGAGTGGCTTTTTAAAAAGCGATTCACATGACTTATTTGCATTTTAGAAAAAAAATCACCTTCGCCTAAGGGTGGAGTTAAACTGGAAAGGGGGAAAGAGGTTCGGCCTCCTGCAGGCGGGGCCAGGCCGGGGTCTGGGGTCTGGGCTCAGGGCACAGCTCGGGCGGGCTCAGCAGCTTGAGGGCCGAGTGGCAAGCAAGCAGGAGCTAACAGCACCCAGTAACTGCGAGCTGAGAAATTCTTGTCCCCACAGATGGCGAAGCTGGAGCTCAGAAAGGCTCAGTGTGCCGTCCAGGGTCGTGCAGATTATAAGTGATGTCACTGAGACAGGAAATACACCCCTGGGCCCTCTACCCCCTTCCAGGCTCTTCTCATGATTCAAAAATCACTGTTTATGAACTGTGGATTGTTCTAGAATTTCCTGAGAGGCCAGGTTCTCCAACAACTATAGTCTGGAGCAAAATATAGCAATGTGTTTTCTTTCTCCAACATATCAGCTCAAGCAAATCCCAGGAGAGGAGAACCCCATTTTTCTCCCTTCGGATGCAAAATACGACTGGCTTTTGGCCAAAATCTGGGTGCGTTCCAGTGACTTTCATGTCCACCAGACCATCACACACCTTCTGCGCACACATCTGGTGTCTGAAGTTTTCGGCATCGCCTTGTACCGCCAGCTGCCTGCTGTGCACCCCATTTTCAAGGTACAGCACCTCCTGCTTGGGGGGGGGAGAGCATCCAGGATATGAGGGCGGCAGGGGACTGAGGTTCCCACAGGGAACTGTGGCTAGGAGTGGGCAGTAGAGGGGGCCCCCAGGAGAGATGTTCTGGGAGTCGGTAAGGTCCCCCAAGGGAGAAAGCAACTGAGAGCCTGCTGTTCCCCAGGATGCTCCGCTGGGCTGCTGGGCTGGACCTGGCTGGCTCCGGAGTGGAATTTTAAAACGCAAATGAGTTCTGTGTGATCCTTGGCTGATCCTGGTGGCTGCCCCAGCTGTCACTCTCCTCTCTTTCTCAATCCTACCAGCACTGACTGCTGGAGTAGCTGCGGGCTAAAATATCTCCATGTGCCTCATTTTCCTCATCAGTGAAACAGATCAAACTAGTACACCTGCCTCATCAGATCATGGTCTGGATTAGAATAGTTAATAAACTCAGCTTAAAACAGTGCCCAGGACTGTAATTACACACTACACCAGTGTTGACGTCCTGTTTTTAGCAGTATCATCTCTACAGTTAAGCATCAGAGCTGTGCCAGGCCCCCAGCAGTCACTCAGCAGGAAGATCAGCACCCCAACCTTCACTTCCCACTGCATCCAGCATCCCCTCACCCCCGGGGGCTGGGGAGAGGCTGCTGGGGTCCCAGGAGCACCTGGTCCAGAGGCCCTGGCCAGGCCCTCTCTGAGGCCTCCTCCCCCCCCCCCAGCTGCTGGTGGCACACGTGCGGTTCACCATTGCCATCAACACCAAGGCCCGAGAGCAGCTCATCTGTGAGTACGGCCTCTTTGACAAGGTGAGTACCCTTGGCCTTTGGAAAGAGCCCTGCCTGGCAGCCTCCACCCCCACCTGAGGTCTTGACTGAGGTAGAGGCCTGGGAAGGGTGGAGGCTGGAGGCTGTGCCCAGAGCGCTGGCTCCTAGCTTCTCTGGCCAGTCTCTGGCCCCTTCCACCCAGCCGCAGGGAGCACTCCTCCCCAGCGCCAGCCACGCCTCCCGTCAGCAGCTCCCCGCCCGCCCTCTCCTGGCCTCTGGGACATGGGTGTAGACCGCCTCTGGCACCCACTCCTCATGGCCCACTGACCTCGTCCACACCAAGGACCTGTGTCTCCCTCCCACTGCTGCCCCTGGTCCTGCCCTGGACTGCCCAGCACTCTGAGCCGCCCCCCTGCCGCACAGGCCTTCAGGCAGCACCCACCTCCTGAGCCCCTGCAGCCTTACCGGCCTGGACTCACGCCAGCCCTCAGCTGGCCTTCCTCCCCCCCAGCAGTGAGTCACCAGCACAGACGATCACTGAAGTTGAGACCCTGATTGGGAGGCAAATGACAAAACCCAACTCAAACCAGCAAGATAGGACTTGCCTTGTGTTATAAACCTGGATGTGGGGGGCGGGGGCGGGTCTCAGACCAAAATGGATCCAGGAACCCACACGGCGCACCAGGGCTCATGCATGCTGGCTCACACTCCTGCTGCAGACTTGGGGGTGGGGATGGGACCTCGCCACAGAGTCTCCCTTGTGGCTGTCACCTCCCAGGCTGCATCCAAACATAAAGTACCAGGAGCAGCTCTTGCTGGTCCCACTTGGTCAAATGACCACCAATCTCTAGCACCCAGCACCCAAGTTCTTCTTTGAAAATTCTGTGTCCCTGACTGCTCAGCCACCTGGGTGTGTTCAACTGTGTATGTGTGTGGTGTGTGTGTGCACACGTGTGCACACAGATGTGAGCATGTGTGTCTGCATCTGAGCTGCTGGGACCAGGACTAGGATCCCTCCTGTGTGTCACTCCAGCCCTCAGCTAAGCACACAGCAGGCCCTCAGCAGAGCTCTGTGGACGGGGGACTGCGGGTCCCAGGAGCAATGACTCTGGGTATCCTATGCACTGCACTGAAGAAGCCCAGGCCCACTAGTGCTGCGACTCCCACACACCCACAAGCTGCCTGGCTGCCCTCCTGGGGGTGGGAGCTCCCCCTCCGTGCTGGAGCTCTGTGTCCCCACTGTTCAAGCCCTTGCTGGATCTGGCAAAGACTCCCTGTAAGGCGCTCCTGCGCTGCCCTTGGCATCTCTGCATTAAACTTCCCGCCCCTGTACAGGACATGGGTTGCCCCTCCGCGTGCCTGGCCACTCACTGCCCTTGCACAGGTTGTCATGGATGCAGGGTGAGCTCGGGCTGGACGAGAGGGGAGGGGGAGTCTCAGCTCAGAGCACTCCTCTCCCACCCCAGGCCAACGCCACAGGGGGCGGCGGGCACGTGCAGATGGTGCAGAGAGCCATGCAGGACCTGACCTACACTTCCCTGTGCTTCCCCGAGGCCATCAAGGCCCGGGGCATGGACAGCAAAGAGGACATCCCCTACTACTTCTACCGGGACGACGGGCTCCTGGTGTGGGAAGCCATCAAGACGTGAGCGCCAGCGGCGCGGGCTCCCCGAGAGGCGCTGATGGGGGAAGGGAGGCGCGGGGTAGGGGAGGTCCTGAGCCCAGACACTAGGAGTAAGTGGCAGGGTCGCCAATGGGGCGCAGCGTCGCACACCTGGCTGCGTCACCCACTGCCGGCCGCCCCCCACCCCCGAGCCAGGTTCACGGCCGAGGTGGTGGGCATCTACTACGAGAGTGACCAGGTGGTGCAGGAGGACCAGGAGCTGCAGGACTTCGTGAAGGACGTTTACGTGTACGGCATGCGGGGCAGGAAGGCCTCAGGTAGGGCCGCGCCTCCCGCCCCATCTCCCGCCCCTCCCGGGCCCGGGCTCCCGCTGCCCACCGGCCGTCTCGGAGGACGAGGCTGCCCAGAGCTACAGCGGCGACCCCGGCCGAGCTGCCGCCCCCGGGCGTCCTCCCTGGCGCCGGGAGCCCGGGACGGGGCGGGGCTCAGGGGTCCCGGGCGGGGCCTCAGCGCTCGCGTGGCTCCGCCCTAGGCTTCCCCAAGTCGCTCAAGAGCCGGGAGAAGCTGTCGGAGTACCTGACCGTGGTGATCTTCACGGCCTCGGCCCAGCACGCCGCGGTGAACTTCGGCCAGGTGGGCCGGGGGCCCTCGCAGCGGGGACTCGACCGGGCCCTCCCGCCCTCTGCCGCCGTCTTTGCTCCTGCAGGATCCCAGGCAGCCGGGGTGGGCCGGGGATCCGGGCGGCTGGACGGGTTCCTCGGGCTCGGCCCAGGGCGCCGGCTGCTGGCAGGAGATGGGGCGACGGCCCAGCCCGCGGTGGCGGGAGGATCCGGTGGCTGGGGCGCCCACGCAAGCGGCCTCCCCGGCGGGCAGGTGTGGGCGTGGTGGGCCGCAGGTGGGCGGGTAACTGGGCTTCGGGGCGCCCACTCTTGTTGGTGGCCGTCCTGCAGTACGACTGGTGCTCCTGGATCCCCAACGCCCCCCCAACCATGCGAGCCCCGCCGCCCACGGCCAAGGGCGTCGTGACCATAGAGCAGATCGTGGACACGCTGCCCGACCGTGGCCGCTCCTGCTGGCACCTGGGTGCAGTGTGGGCGCTGAGCCAATTCCAGGAAAACGAGGTGAGGCTGAGCAGTGTGGGGGCAATCCCAGGTCACCCCAAGTTTAAGCCATTCCCACCCTTAGGGTTTTGTGACTCAGGGCTCAGCCTGGACACACGGGGCCAGGAATCCTGAATTCCAAGGCTGGGGAGCCCAACTGGGTTGCATGTGCCACCAGGTCCTCGGGCCTGAGCCTGGACACAGGTCAGGGTGGCAGGACAGAAGAGTACACAGGCTCTGCTCCGCTCATTGTCACCGGAGGGTGGTGTGTGCCCCCCTTCCCCAGCTATTAACTAAGCTCTTCCATGTGGTTTCTCCCTAGCACCCCAGAGGGAACGACTAAGAGTTTCTTGGGTTCCTTCTAGACTCATACTCCTTATTTAACCTAACACCAAATCTGGTTATCTTGGTGGACTGAACCCCTTGGCAGAAGCTCAGTGGTTCATACAACGATGGTCCCAGTTTCACCAGCTTCAGATGGATTGGGCATCTAAGTTGCTTCCGGGCCTTCGCTAGTGTGTTGGTCCCTCACTGGGCATGCATGTGTGTCACTCCTACTAGAGGAATTTCTTGGTCAAAGATTATTGAGACAATTGACCTCCACACACTAAATCCAAAATCTCACATTTTTCCAGCCCTGAAACTACCTTAACTATCCAATAGAGTAGCTTTTAAACAAGATGTCTAGCTTTCATTTGCAGACATCTGTGAGCATGCAAATGAGCACACCACCCTGACAAGGAACCACTTCTTCTGAGTCCCCCAACAGGCCTGCCTCAGCCCTCCCCGTACTCCTGAGTGCCTGGAGCCCAGATGGCAAGTGGGAGTGCTGCATAGGGTGGCCCACCCAGGCCACCAGGCCACATGCCCACCACAGCTAGGACCACTAGCAGCATCTACATTCACCTGCATCATCTCATGGCCACTCGACAGCCTGGCAGTTATTTTTCCCACTAATCCATGAAGCCCAGGCTTTCCTTGGGGAAGGCAGGTTGGAGGCGGCATCTGCCTTCTCGGTGCACTCTCGGCAGGCAGCAGAGGGTGAAAATGGGGGGTGAACAGATGCTCCCTCCCTGACCTCCCAAGGGGTGGCCCCTGGGGTGGGACAGGCCTGTCAGTTCACATTGGTGGCCGATTAACCTGTCTATATCTGGGCACTCAGCTATTCCTGGGCATGTACCCAGAAGAACATTTCATCGAGAAGCCTGTGAAGGAGGCCATGGCTCGATTCCGCAAGAACCTTGAGGTCATCGTCAGCATGATCGCTGAGCGCAACAAGAACAAGAAGCTGCCATATTACTACTTGTCTCCAGACCGGATTCCCAACAGCGTGGCCATCTGAGCATACCTGTGCCATTCCCACTCTGGGAGGGCAGCTGCTCCAGCCCTACAGACTCACCGCCTGCCTGGAAGGCTCTCTGGTCAGGCTTCCTGGAGGCTTACTTTCCCTGCGAGGCCAGTGCATTTCCCTGTTTACCCCTCAGCCTTGAGGGAATCCCATAGTTTGATCAAAGTGTGTAAACACTGCAGGGACCCCTCCCATACAGAGCAGAACTGTGCAGCCTCCTCCCCACATGCAGCGCAGCCCTTCCACACCAGGCAGCAGCAGCAAATCAGGACCACTGGTAGACGGTTGTTCTTGTTGGAGACCTGGGATGATTATTTTCTGTCCTATTTATGCCTATTCCAATTTCTTGCATGCAGCAGGTACCCAAATAAATTCTTATTGAGTGAATTAAGAATTGGTTGTCATAAAATAAAAATGTTCATTTAAAACAGGTCTCATTCCACATGCTATGTTCTAATCACCCTAAATAGCTCACAGACCCACCCCCAACACATACACATGTACTGGAAAAAAAATGATAATCACTGTGATTTCATCTGGGCAAAACCCTCCCCACCCAAGTCTGGATAGAAGGTGCTTTTCCCTCTTCTTTTACCATACAGCTCCTACTCTTTCTTCAGAACACATCTCAGTTGCCACTCCTCTGGGAAGGCACCCTTGGTTGCCCAGATAGAGTCTGTCTCTCCCCAGGGCTTTGTCAGACAAAGACCTCTGTTGTTGCCTGCAGGGAGCTAGCTACACTCTCAGCAAAACAGGTCCCAGGCAGGATCATCGCAAGAGATTTGGAAATAATAGAAATAGGAGAAATAATAGAGACAGAAATAACTAAGACAAAGTATAAAGTGGAGGGGGAGTCAGGAGTCCTCTAGCATTCTCGTGAGCTGTGAGGCCCTGAGTGAAGTTGTGCATCAGTATTTATTGGTGCAGTAATTAGTTGTAGTAGTTATAGATTTACGTGTATAGATAATTTGTTTAGGTTTTAAGGCTCCCCAAAAGTTTCTAGAGATCCCCTAATTAACTCTTATGTGAGCAAATGGTTACAAAATTTAAGATGAACTTCTAAGCCCTAAGATAAAATTGTCAATTAGCAGAAAAGCTAAATGGAAATATAGAGGCTATATATTTCTTCATCTAGTTTCTTATTAACTGAGACAAGTGGTCAGAAGTGAAGCAGGAACTATCCTTAAGGCTAATTGGCTTTAGCTGCAGGTGTCTGCTGGGCAGGCATTCTTTGATCAGTCCTTATCCTGTGACTCCATGCCAAGCTCTATCTTACACAAGGATCAGGCGCTGGCTTCCAGGTCTCGAGATGGGCGTCACCTTATATATGCCTCTGGCAGGTGAGATGCCCTCCTGTGGCTAGGCAGCTTTTGGTCTGTAAACTAACATGTTCACAGATTCCTTTAAGAAAAAGCCCTGCAAAACTCCTGAAACCTTTTATGTCTCTTATCTTCCAACAGTTGCCCTCCCTGGTGGTTTCTCCCTTGGGGGGGGGAGGGTGGAGCCAGTAGAAGGACAGGAGACTGACCCTATTTATTTCTGTGCCCTAGGCTGGTCTAGGGCTGGCATCGGGCACGAGCACTCAGCTGCTCTCTCATCTCCCTCCCAGCAAGGCACTTCACTGGCAGATATCAGGCATTGTCTTGGGGGTTGGAGGCTTATTTTCTCCTGAGCAAGTGTTTTAACATGATTTACAAAAATGCATTCTCTTTCCCCAGGCCCGAAAGGCAGAGCCAGCTCTAAGCTTGGGCATGGTGACCCCTTGCCCCCTCTTACTCACATGCCCAACTCACAACCCCTTAGCCCTGGCTTCAAAATCATGTCAACAGGGTCTCCAGTGTTTCTGGATGGTGCTCCTGATGTGATAGGATCACAGCTCAATGTCTAGGTAAAAGGCTTCTTTCTACCAGGACTAACATGGCATAGAAGAAGGTGTGCATGTGTTCCTGGGCCCACAAATCCCTGAGAAAACTTGATTGTTGGAGTAAGTACAGCCCCTTACTGCTCCAGACTTCCTACCATCCCTCTGAGAATTGCCCACCATATTTGTTAATGACCTTCAGGACAGATGCCATAAATATATGGCCATAGTAGAGGCATTCCACACCATATTACTATTTGTCCCCAGACCGGATTCCCAACTCTGAGAACCTACACACCAATCTTTAGAACCCACAAGGCCATGTGATTAAGGAGGAGGGAGCAGGAAGGAACAAGAGTAGGCAGGTGCTGCTGCAGGTCTGGCACCAGCAAAAGAAGAAAGAGAAGTAAGGATTGGTATAAAGGGCTTTGGACTGTACAGCTTGTCAGAAAAAGTCTCACTCCAGCCAATGGGAAGTCCTCAAACAAAAGTCACCATTACAGACATATTGCATCTGGACAGAATGGCAATAGTGGTCTTGGCATGAATGTCACAGTGGAGCCAAAGGTGTGGCAGCTAAGGCTGTCTGTCAGTTATGTTCTCTGTAGCTGGTCATCTTGGCTCCCTGCACCTGGATATCTGAGTAGCACAGCTCCACTGCTGCCACAGGATAGGGACAGTCCCAAATTCTGTGCAGAGACTGTCCAAACCTCCGGCCGACTCCTAAGACACACATGCATGGGGCAAATTACAAACAACCCAATTTAGGATAAAATAACCTATGTTAGTCTGTTTGTGCTGTTACAAAAAAATACCCAAGACAATAATTCCTAAAGAAGAGAAATTTATTCCTCACAGTTCTGGGGGCTAGAAATCTAAGATCAAATCGCCAGTAGGTTCAGTGTCTATCAAGGGCTTGGTCTCCGCTTCCAAGAAGACGCCTTTTCCTCACAGAGCAGAAGGGCCAAAAAGGGTGAATACTCTCTGAAACCTCTTTTATAAAGGCATTAATCCACTCATGAGAGCTCAAGACTTAATCACTTCCCCACTTCCTAGGAACATCACCTTGAGGTTTAAGTTCTAACATATGATTTTTTGAGAGATACGTATATTCAAAACATATTATAGCACAAACAAACTGATATTTGAGCTTTCAAATAATTTTCAGTGTAAGTTACTTGCTTGCTTGGAGAAAAAAAATTCCTCTTTGGAGGAATATAACAGAATTCAGAATCTTTATAAAATAACATTCATCACAGTCAGCACATAATCCAAAATTACTCAACATACCAAGAATTAGGAAAATGTGACCTACTCTCAAGAGAAAAGATAATTAACAAAGACCAATCACAAGATGACCCAGATATTGGAATTAGCAACCATTTTAATGCAGCTTTTATATCTGTGCTCAGTAAGTTAAAGAAAATATGCTCCAATATATGTAAGGATAGGAAATCTCAGCAAAAAATAAATAAAAACCTATAAAATGTACAAAAAAAAAAAAGGAGGAGGAGAAGGAGGACAAGGACAAGGAGAAGAACCAAATGGAAATTCTAGAACTAAAAAATATCTGGGAAAAAAGTAGTTAAATGGGCTTAAATAGGGGAACAGAGATGTCAGAGGAAAGAGAAAACTTGAAGTCAGGTCAACAGAGATGACCCAACCTAAAGTACAGAGATCATTTCTTCTTTTCTTTTTTTTTATTTTCAACTGCCTCATTGAGAAGCAGATAATTTCTTTTTAATGAATGAACAGAGCCAGAGAGAGGTATGGGACAATACAAAAAATGTTAATATACATATAATTGGAGTGTTAGAAGAAGAGAGGATGTGAAAGAGAATGGGGCAGGACATTTGAAAAAATTAAGGCCAAAATTTCCCCAAATTTGGTGAAAGACATAAATTTAAAGCTTCAAGAAGCTCAGCTGAACCCAAGAAGAATAAATACAAAGAAAGCCATATCTACATACTTCAGAGTCAAACTGTTATAATAGAAACCAGAGTTAAAGAGAAAATCTTAAAAGCAGTGGCACTTAGAATACAGTAGAACAAAAATGTGAATTACAGCTGATTTTTCATCAGAAAGTGTGTGTGGAGGGGAGGGCAAATACAATGGAGCAGTATTTTTAAAGCATTGAAAGAAAAGAAAATCACCAACACAGAATTCTGTAACCAGCAACAATATCCTTCAAGAATGAAAACAAAATAGATTTCCAGTAAAATAAAACTAAGATAATCTATCACCAGTAGATCTACATTACAAAAAAATTTTTTAAAAAAGCTAAAAGGAAATCTGCATGCTGAAGGGAAGTGATACTAGATGAAAGTTCAGATCCTCAGAAAGGAATGAAGAGTATTAGAAATGGTAACTATTTGGTAAATGTAAAAGATTTTTCTCCCTCTTAATTTTTTTAAAATATATATGACTATTTAAAGCCAATATCATGACATTGTCATGTGGCATTTATAATTCATGTAAATGTAATATATATGAAGACAGCATAAAAGACAATAAATGGCTACTAAATGGACTTATTTAGTTATATAGTTTCAACATTTTATATCAAGTGGTGCAATATTAATTTTAGGTAGCTTGTGAAAATTTAAGAAGGTAGATTATAGGCACTAGAGGAACCACTAAAACTATTATAAAGAAGTATGGCTAAAAAGCAATAGATGACTTAAAATCAATTCTAAAGATACATAAATAATGAAAAGGCAGGAAAAGAGAAACAGAGAAAAGCAGAGGTAAAAGCAGCAAATAATAAAATGGTAGACATAGATTCAACCTTTAATGATAGTTACATCAAATGTTAATGGACTAAAAGCTCTAACTAAAAGGAAGAGATTATCAAAATGGCTCTAAAAAACTCAATACCCAACAACATGCTATATATAAGATAAACATTATAAATACATAGTACAATCAGAATTTTTTTCTGTAAGATATTTTAGGTTTTGCAGGCCACAATCTGTTGCATTTTTTCTAAAACAACTCTTCAAAAATATAAAACACATCCCTCACTTAAGAGCCTTACAAAAAACAGGATATGAGCTATATTTGGTCAGTAGTCTGGAGTTTTCTGTCCCCTGATATAAAGAGACAGATAATAAGATTTGTGAATGGCAAAAAAGCACATGGAAAGAAGTTCAACATCATTAGTCATTAGGAAAATGCAAATTAAAACCACAATGGCATACAGCCGCACATCTGCAAGAATGCCTAAGATCGAAATGACTGACAACACCAAATGTTGGCAAGGATATGAAGTACCTGGAACCTCATACTTTGTTGTTGGGAATATAAAATGGTACTCCAACTTTGGAAAAACATCTGACAATTTCTTATAAAACTAAACGTATCCCTACTTCTTCTGAACTAGCATTCCATTCCTACATATTTCCCCAAGAGAAAGGAAAATGTCTACAAAAATATTTGTACAAAAATATTCTTAGCAGTTTTATTCATAATAGCCCACAACTGGAAACAGTTCAAATATCCAGTGATAAGAAAATAGATGAAGAGAAGCACAGTCATGCTGTGGAATATTACTCAAAAATAAAAAGGAGGG